TGATATAAAGAACAAACCCGAATTTATTGTGGTAGCAAATGACTTTAAAGATAGATAGATCTTAGAAGATTCTTAGATGAATTTTTACTACGACAGCAATAGACCAAGGCTCAATGGCAAACTAATACCGAGGAGGACGACTCTATCAACGCTGCAGTAAAGATTGTGTTGTGCTGTGGCTAGTTACTCGCACGCTGAGTAGACAGAAAGAAGATTGATGACGATTCTGAAGATTTCCTGCAAAAAAGATGATGCACGATGCATGTAGATGCGAGAAATGCAAGAAGATTAGTCGAAGATTGATTCGCTAGTGTGAGATTTTTTGAGCATCTAAAATTGAGATTTAGATGTGTCGCCCCCCTCGACTAATACCCACTTTTCAATTAGAGAATACAAATCTGTCTTTAAACTTTGTACAGTTGCAAAAAAGTCCATCCTCAGAATTCCTTGAGGTTCTTTTCGAAATTTTTAGAACTCTATGAGTTCTTTTAAAATTCTTCCCAGAAGTCCTATGGAATTATTTTTTTAACTCTCCTTGACTTTCACTCAGAACCTCTTGGAACTGAAATTCCCTTAGAGTTTCAGAAGAATTTCCTCAGTATTATCCAGAATAATTCGCGGAATGAGCTAGAAATTATCGATATTCCCTTGAAATTTTCCTCAAAATCCCTTTGGAATTCACTCAAAATTTAATTTTCTAGGTATTCTTTTCGGAATTATCTTGGAACTATCTGTAGGATTCACTAAAAAATATTCGCAGAATTTTCTTGGAATACTCCCCAGAAATCCTGTCCTCAGAATTCTCAGGATTTTTTTTTAGAACTCTCCTAAAAGCTTTATTGAAATTCTTCTCAGAAGTCTACTGGAATTATGTTTAGAACTCTTCATATTTTTTTCTCAGAGCACCTTAGAACTGAAATTCCTTTAGATTTTCAGAAGTTTTTCTCGGAATGAGCTAGAAATTATCCTCGAAATTCGCTTGAAATTTTGCTTAAAATCCCTTTGGAATTTAACTCAAAATTTGACTTTCTAGGTATTCTTTTCGAAATTATCTTGGAAATATCTGCAGGATGCACAAGAAATTTTCCACAGAATTTTCTTTACATTCTTCCCAGATATATTTTGGAACTTTCCTAAGAATTCAATATCGTTGAAGTTCTTCTCGGAATATTTTGGAACATTTTTTTTTTCTCAGAACACCTTGGAACTGAAATTCCCCTAAAGTTTCAGAAGAATATTACACAAAAAATAAGGAAAATATTGATCACTGATGATTGATAAATGTGTACCACACACAAATCAATTTATATCACAACATTTCAATACATTTTCAGCTCTCGTAAGTAATAAAACTGGTTGAGAATATCACTCTGTTCGGAGTTTTTAGCCGCCATGACCTTTAAGGTTAAGATGGGAAGGTTGCACTGACGATCATCAAATGGCCTGATTATGGCATTTATTGAATGGAATTACCTGATAATACACACTAGACGTAAAACTCACAGTTACTGTTTGAATATTTTATGTTTATTTTAATTGTTTAACAACGTTTTTACAAGTAAATCATGGACCCAACTTTAGGGACACATTTCTTTTCTATGTTCCTAACTATGGCCCATGAAATTCATTTGACAGCATATAGCAACAAGAGTAACGTTAACAATGTGGTTTGCATTTGGATGATAAGGAACGAACAGGAAGGGAGATTTTTTCTGCCAAACCTGTATAATGAACATCACAATGTTTTGATTTAGATATTCTGCGGTCGAAAGACGATAAGCGAAATTTTTAATTTTTAATTTTTAATTTGAGTGATTTAATGTAGTTTTCGTAAAATTTTCTCTAAGAAATGTTTTGAGGAATGAAGAGCATTAAGTTAACAGTGATAGTGATAAAAAAAAAACATAAGAAAACGTTACCAAGAGCGTTTTTTTTTAGGATCAAACAGGATAGGACGAAGTTGCATCCATAAATAGACCCAATTTGGGGACAATAGACCGATATTACATACATTTCCCTGGTGAGTTTTTGTCTTAAAAAAAGTAAGTTTTTCAATTTTTTGTGGTTCCTGATAGCAAACGATATGATAAGCATATCTAAGCATACCATTTAGCAGTAGAATATCGTTTACAGGTAAATTAATTGATGAGTTATGATTAAAAACGTAATCGATGGCTGCATATTAGACCAAGGTTAGGGACGTATACCCTAGCTTAAATTTAAAATATCATTCACCAGACCAGTGCAAGTTTTCCACCAGAAATTTTCTGTTCATTTTATTTATCAAAGCGATGTAAACTTTACACCAGACATTTTCATTAAAGCATGCTCCTCCATTCACCAGAACGGTGCACCAAAAATTGTCAGTGATGTTTGTTTCACCATGCACCTTTGTGGTGAAATTTTCAGGCTTTGCCTCTTCATGCACCAGAATGATGCAAATTTTCCACCATAAATTTTCAATGAAGCTTGCATTCATCAGAACGTTTCAAATTATGCTCCAGAAAAATGAATAAACCTTGCTTCTATTCACCCCAGTGTTGCAAACTTTCCACCAGAAATTTTCAGTTAAATTTGCACCTTAGCGTAATTCAATTTTTCCACCAGAGTTATTGATTTTGATTAGATGCATCACCTTGATGATATTTTTACACCAGAAATATTACATTAAAACCTTTTTCTTCGATTTACCACCACGAAGGTGAATTTTTTCAACCTTAAATTTATTCTCCTCTTTTAACCCAATTTACCGTCCCAATTTACGCCAGCAATTTTTTGTATGCACGACTGTGGTGCAATTTTTTGACCAAACAATTTCATTGAAGTTTGTCCCTTCATGCACCTTGTGGTGCAATTTCCAGACACCATCTCAAAGGCATTGACGCAATAAAAGGTTTTCAGTGCCCTTATATTACGAAATGAACTTAATTTACCTTCAAATCAAGTTATCATGAAATCAAGTTATTTTATATCATAATTTTGTAAATGTGGAAATAAAAATCTTATTTATAAAAGGAGAGGCAGTTGCCCCACCTTGCCCCACCCTGTGCACGCTAGTGAGCATGATGATGATGATGATAGCATGATAGTGGCTTACCACACATTGTAGCACGTAAACTTAGTCCGATAGCAGTGGACTCTCTTCTCTGTTTGCTTAATAACCTCTGATTGTCCTCAACATGTCGCTGTATGAAGGGCCAAAAACGGATTGGGTGGATCGATAGACAAAATCGCCTATACGCATCTACGGGACAACAAAGAATCTCCTTCCAGCAACATGATCAGCCAATTGGTCAACAAGACGAGTTCCCAAACAGGAAGATGCCCCAATGAGTGGGGAGAAGAGCTCGCCCTTTATCCACGAAATTTTATCAACAGGGAGTTGACATTCCCACTCTCCCCGTCCAAATCGCTTCCATCGGGTGCCCCTTTTTTATATGTATTTAAATGTTAATGTTATATAAATGTTATATATACTGAATCATCACTTATGCGAGTCGGTTGTTATGAATATTGTCAATAATACTTACATATAGATGAAGATGATGCCACCAATCCAACTTTGAATCGTTCGGAGAAGGGGCTCATGGTTCCACTCATCCTGTATAGTCTTCTTTTTCTTCTTCCGGTTCGCTCACCACCCGAAATGAACGCTCGGTGCATCATAAATTTGATATGGTTAGTAATATCAAATAGTGTTACATGCAACAGAAAATGATGAGTTTTTTAAAGTAACAGTTTCATCTGAATTCCTAACTAACCACATCGTATCTCAGTGACATTGTCTCAATCTGAACCTACATTTAAAGTTATGTCTTGATTATATGGTTACTGTGCAAGTACCACAAGTTCAACAACGCCCAACTATGGACAGTTCAATGCTACGGACACCAAAGAATATATAGAGATAAAGCTCAAAAATACAGTTTTAACTGATAGTGACTCATCAAGCTGTTCGATATTGGACCCTGCCAACCCACGGAACCTGCACGGTAATGTGGGCCATCAGAATGGTTCATCGGTTGCTAAGTCAAGTACTGCTCAAACTGAAGCGATACATTTCTCAATGTTTCAACTTTATTCTAATGTTAACTTAATATCGTCTCACCCATATGCCCATACACACCCAAAACCCATCCCCACACAAAATCAAATAAAAAGGTATATGTATGGTAAACACGTCCGGACATTAACAGGGAAAATGGGTTTACATCTTCACTATCGCAACTACGGATAATCATCGAAAGTATTTGCATTTTACTCAGGCACTTTTGAGGGAACTTCAATCAACCTCTCATACCTGAAATGTGCCACGACCAACCTGGCACAACGATGCCCTTACGCTCTCTGATCAAAGCGCAGGGAGTGTTTTAGTTCCGTTGTTTACAAAAATCTTAATTTGTATCTAATGTAGATTTGCATGGACCATGAGCTTCCGAAGAAGTCGAACATGGTATAAGGACGATGAGGATATATTCTGCTGTGAACGAGTGGTTTCGCGTAGACGAGTGGTTGCGGTGCTTATTAATTGTATTGTAATAATTTCAATGGATGCAAATAAATTCAATTTAACTTTGGTTGTCATATATTCGTTGTCATATAAAGAATGGAAAATTATTAAATTATTAATTATTCCAACGTTGGGTAAAGTTTACCTATTTATAAACCTAATTTTGCCTAGCCCCACTGAAGCCACGCGTTGAGTGAAAGAAACTCAATTTTGGTACTTTTTTCTTACCGTGTAGAAATTCTTGTGGTACCACTATTTTTGAAATTTATCAAGAAATTCAAACAAAGTCATTGGAAACTTTCCGTAACACGTTTTCCGGAGGCTTCGTAGTCAGCGTAAAGTTTTTTACCCACCCTGTTCGAAGCGTTAATTTAAATTCTGTTACTATATCTAATATTATTCTTACAAGATAATTTTGTTACGGGTGACCTTCATAGCTTATTGATGAAATATTTATCCTGTTTTTTTTTCAGGTGGTTCAAAATGGATCAGCAATCGTATGAAAGTGAAATTAAGTCGGGTGGCCACGGCGAAAAATTCCAAACAGACGTTGCCCTCGTACTGTTGCTGCGTACGCGGGAATTAAGTTCCACTACAAGGATGGCGTATGAAATGAAGATGGCCGACAAGTTTGACGATGTTGTGTTGATTGACGATACAAACAAGGAGATCCACTTAATTCAAGCAAAACACGCCGATACCAAGGATGAAAAGGTTAAAAATATCGATCTGGATGCCCTGTTTCCAACTGGAAATAGTGCCAAACGCACCGGGGACTTTGATTTGTGCAAGTATGCCAAATCCTACATGACTGTGACTGGAAGTTTGGAACTAAAGGCGTTCAAGAAGATGTTTTACATCTTCACCAATAAGGATCTGAAACAGACCGATAACGAGTGGGTGAAGATCGAAGAACGGGAAGTAAATGAAATCCTACGTTTTTCTGGATCCAGTGCCAAAAACCTGGAACTTATTCCATACGAGAAGGCTATCAAAGAGGTGCTCAATTACATCAACAAAGATTTCATTGTGATTAAAGATGCGATCAAAGAGTTCTTTCACAGCGGAACGGTCAGCCAAATTTTAACTCACTATTGCACTCCATTGAAAGACGTCATGGTCATAGACCGGAAAAAGTGTCGCTTTGCAAGCAACTTCAATGCTGAACATACAAATCCCAATGTTGCCTTGCTATACACCATGTTGCAAAGCGATCAGGTTGATATGGAGAAAGAAGTAACCGTCAACAATAATTTCCTGGCGAAAGACTCAAGGAACAAACTTTTGCCACCATTCGTTGGTGAGGATGACATTCGTGGCTTCTTTCGCGATTTGACTCTATCGGTGGGTCAACCAAACGATTTGCAACCTATCATCGTTGGTGAACTACTGGCTTGGATGAAGACGTGGATTCAACCGGACATTCTCGGTAAGCTGGGGCAAAAGGACTTGGATCAGGTGTATATCGACCTGAAAGATTATTTTGTAAAATGCAACGAACCTGATAACAAAAATAGTAAGCGTTTTTTGGCCAAACAAGGTATCGAACAATGCTTTGGACAATTAAAGCGTGGAATGGAGACAGGTGTAATAAAGCGCGTAATGGCAGAGGTGGAAGAATGGGAATTTACGTATATTAACCGCCATATCAAGTACGAAGAGACGGCATTAGAACCAACCGGCGGAATGCATGCTACTATGGAAAGGATGGACATCGTAAGGGAATCAGAGGGTAAATTGTTAAGTATTGTTAAGAAACGGTCAGGCAACGACAAGGTAACAGATAAGGATAGGACTAGCACAATAGTTCGAAAGATAAGTGATACTAGATTAGTTGAAGAGCTTCGAGGAAGATTCAAAAACCAGCAACATATTTTACTTGTAGCAGACCCCGGTATGGGAAAAACCATTTTACTGCAGTTTTTGGCATTTCAGGTTCAAAAACAAAGCCACTCTGCAGTATTCTTGGTGTATTTAAGCACGCTTTGTAATGCACTAAACAAAATTGAAAAAGTATCAAACTTAGACGATGTCCGGGAAATTCTCAGCGCTGTTCTTTCAGAGAATAACTGTAATCTCATCCTTAATGCCCCGGAAAGGCGAAATGACGAAGGATATTCCATTATTTTAGCATTGGATGCATTTGACGAAATACATTCAAAATACACCGAGAAAGTAATTAGTATACTCGAACTGCTCAGCTCTAGAAAGAGTATACAGTTCATAATCAGCTCGAGACTCCACGTGCAGGAATTATTGCAAAGGAATTTCGATGTGAAGTTAATATCCCTACTCCCTTTTCGACATGAAGATCAGATCCAGTACTTGAAGAAAATATGGATGAAGGACAGTGCTCGTGAAAAAGTTGTTGAAAACTTTTCGGAACATCTTTTAAAAAAATATCATTCCAGCATTTTATCCAACTTGAGTGAAATTTCCGGTTTGCCTCTGATGATGCGAATGCTCGCTGAAATTTACTCTGACAAATTCGAAAAATTTATTTCAGCAGCAAATTCCGACAAAATGAAACCGTTTGATTGGTCAGAAGACACATTGAATATTGTGCAACTGTTAGAGCAGTTTGCCAAGAAATGTTTTCACAAGAAATTTGTAGAAAAATTTAAGTCCACGGTTGATATCAACGATGCTGAATTTAATTCAATAATTAACATGTACATTTTGGAACATCAACTGCTAGCGATAAAGCTGCTAGACATTGAAATGCTCATGGATTTATTCACGGTGTCGTATTTTAAGAAAACATATGACTTATTCAAAAACCGTTGTGAGCAGGATGCAGAAAAATCTATTTTGGTGAAAGTAGTCAACAATAATGTTCAGTTCTGCCATTTATCATTTGGTGAATACTTCGTAGCAACATATTTAAGTGATAACATTTCCAAGTTTGAACCAAACTTATTGATCAACGTTCTATCTCAACACGATGTTATTAGGAAACTGACACTGATCAAGCTTGGAGAAAATGAAAACTGCTCCGAAACTTTAAACCATTTGAACAGACTAAACAAGAACGTACCTTTGTGGGCATGCGAGAGTGGTTGTCTGAAATTTGTTTCATCCCTAAAAATTAAAGAGTTCTCCACTAATTTACTAAACGAAATGTTAAAAGTCTCTGCAAAATGCGGATATTTAGAAATATGTAATTTTCTAATTGATTACAATGCAAATCTCGATAAATGCACTGCGCTGCATTCTGCCGCTGAGAATGGCCATCTGAATATTGTTAAACTATTGATAAAGAATAATGCGGACCCAAATGAGATGAACCATGATAAATGGACTGCACTTCATTATGCATGCCAAATCGGATATGCAGAAATAGTTCAATTTTTTATTGATCGCGGTATGAACATTTCCACTTGGTCAACCACAGGTAGAACTCCACTTCTCATTGCTGCGGAGAACGGCCATCTGAATATTGTTAATCTGTTGATAGCAAATAATGCGGACCCAAATGAGGTGGACAAAAACAAATGGACTGCACTTCATTATGCATGCCAAAACGAAAATGTAGAACTAGTTCAATTCTTTATTGATCGCGGTATGAACACTTCCTCTCGGTCAATCAAAGGTGCAACTCCACTTCACATTGCTGCGGTGGAAGGCCATCTGAATATTGTTAAACTATTGATAAAGAATAATGCGTACCCAAATGAGATGGACAATGATAAATGGACTGCACTTCATTATGCATGCCTCAAGGGGAATGAAGAACTAGTTCAATTCTTGATTGATAAAGGTGGGAACACTTCCTCTCGGTCAATCATAGGCGAAACTCCACTTCACATTGCTGCGGTGAGCGGCCATCTGAATATTGTTAAACTATTGATAAAGAATAATGCGGACCCAAATGAGATGAACCATGATAAATGGACTGCACTTCATTATGCATGCCAAATCGGATATACAGAAATAGTTCAATTCTTTATTGATCGCGGTATGAACACTTCCTCTCGGTCAATCATAGGCGAAACTCCACTTCACATTGCTGCGGTGAACGCCCATCTGAATATTGTTAAACTATTGATAAAGAATAATGCGGACCCAAATGAGATGAACCATGATAAATGGACTGCACTTCATTATGCATGCCAAATCGGATATGCAGAAATAGTTCAATTCTTTATTGATCGCGGTATGAACATTTCCTCTCGGTCAATCAAAGGTGAAACTCTACTTCACATTGCTGCGGAGAATGGCCATCTGAATATTGCTAAACTATTGATAGAGAATAATGCGGACCCAAATGAGGTGGACGATAGGAGATGGACTGCCCTCCATCATGCATGCTACAACGGAAATGTAGAACTAGTTAAATTCTTTATTGATCGCGGTATGAACATTTCCTCTCGGTCAATCTTCGGTGAAACTCCACTTCACATTGCTGCGGAGAATGGCCATCTGAATATTGTTAATCTGTTGATAGCGAAAAATGCGGACCCAAATGAGATGAAAGATAATAAATGGACTGCACTTCATTGTGCATGCAAAAACGGAAATGTAGAACTAGTTCAATTCTTTATTGATCGCGGTATGAACATTTCCTCTCGGACAATCAAAGGTGAAACTCCACTTCACATGGCTGCGATGAACGGCCATCTGAATATTGTTAATCTGTTGATAGCAAATAATGCGGACCCAAATGAGATGGACGATAATAAATGGACTGCACTTCATTATGCATGCAAAAACGGAAATGTAGAAATAGTTCAATTCTTTATTGATCGCGGTTTGAACACTTCCTCGCGGTCAATCAAAGGTGCAACTCCACTTCACATTGCTGCGATGAACGGCCATCTGAATATTGTTAATCTGTTGATAGCAAATAATGCGGACCCAAATGAGATGGACGATGATAAATGGACTGCACTTCATTATGCATGCCAAAACAGAAATGCAGAAATAGTTCAATTTTTTATTGATCGCCGTATGAACACTTCCTCTCGGACAATCGACGGTGCAACTCCACTTCACATTGCTGCGGAGAAAGGCCATCTGAATATTGCTAAACTATTGATAGAGAATAATGCGGACCCAAATGCGGTGGACAAAAACAAATGGACTGCACTTCATTATGCATGCCAAAACGAAAATGTAGAACTAGTTCAATTCTTTATTGATCGCGGTATGAACATTTCCTCTCGGACAATCAATGGTGAAACTCCACTTCACATTGCTGCGATGAACGGCTATCTGAATATTGTTAATCTGTTGATAGCGAAAAATGCGGACCCAAATGAGATGAACGATAATAAATGGACTGCACTTCATTGTGCATGCTACAACGGAAATGTAGAACTAGTTCAATTCTTGATTGATGATCATTGTATGGACACTTCCTCTCGGACAATCAAAGGTGCAACTCCATTTCACATTGCTGCGGAGAATGGCCATCTGAATATTGCTAAACTATTGATAGAGAATAATGCGGACCCAAATGAGGTGGACGATAGGAGATGGACTGCACTCCATCATGCATGCAAAAACGGAAATGCAGAAATAGTTCAATTCTTTATTGATCGCCGTATGAACACTTCCTCTCTGACAATCAAAGGTGCAACTCCACTTCACATTGCTGCGGAGAATGGCCATCTGAATATTGCTAAACTATTGATAGAGAATAATGCGGACCCAAATGAGGTGGACGATAGGAGATGGACTGCACTCCATCATGCATGCAAAAACGGAAATGCAGAAATAGTTCAATTCTTTATTGATCGCCGTATGAACACTTCCTCTCGGTCAATCGACGGTGAAACTCCATTTCACATTGCTGCGGAGAATGGCCATCTGAATATTGCTAAACTATTGATAGAGAATAATGCGGACCCAAATGAGATGGACGATGATAAATGGACTGCACTTCATTATGCATGCCAAAACAGAAATGCAGAAATAGTTCAATTTTTTATTGATCGCTGTATGAACACTTCCTCTCGGACAATCGACGGTGCAACTCCACTTCACATTGCTGCGGAGAAAGGCCATCTGAATATTGCTAAACTATTGATAGAGAATAATGCGGACCCAAATGAGGTGGACAAAAACAAATGGACTGCACTTCATTATGCATGCCAAAACGAAAATGTAGAACTAGTTCAATTCTTTATTGATCGCGGTATGAACATTTCCTCTCGGACAATCAATGGTGAAACTCCACTTCACATTGCTGCGATGAACGGCTATCTGAATATTGTTAATCTGTTGATAGCGAAAAATGCGGACCCAAATGAGATGGACAATGATAAATATACTGCACTTCATTATGCATGCCGCGAGGGGAATGTAGAAATAGTTCAATTATTGATTGATAAAGGTGGGAACACCTGCTCTCAGACAATGTTTGGTAGTACTCCACTTCAAATTGCTAAGAAATACGGCCATCAAAGTGTTGTTGAACTGATAACTGCGAACACTTAGAAAATTAGCTGGACGATTAGAAATGAACTGCCCTCCATCATGCATACCGAAACGAAAATGTGGAAATAGTTCAATTCTTGATTCTCGCTCTTGGAAAATCCATGATGTAACTCTACTTCACATTGCTGCAGGGAATGGCCATGCGAACGAGTGCTGTGAAACTCTTGATAAAGGGGTTTCATATGTTTTAATTCAACCAAAAAATCGACACGTGTTAGTATCAGTATTAGTTAACACGAATTCGTAACTGATGTTCGTTGACTGAATTTTGCTCCGTAAAAATATGTTTATCTTTTTTGGTACCTAATTCCAATGAAATAATTTTGGTATCCATG